GAGAAATCACCCTCCCCAGGGGGAGTGGCCATGCTGCAATTACCTCTCTATTGTCTTCCTGGGGTTTTGGGCAGTCGTGCACACACACACACACACACACACATGCCCTGCATGATATTCAAGCCACCAGTCTGGGACTCAAAGCACAGTTGGCCCTGTGGGGAGTCTAGTGCCTTAACCACCACTCTTAACTCCTGGCCCAGTAACATAGGGTTTTAATTAAACTAATTCCTCATAATGTCAACTCCATCCTACCTGCTCAGGCCAAAAACCATGTAACTGTTCTTTTTTCCTTGTTTTCATTCATACCCATGTCCAGTCCATCAAAATATCTTGTTGGCACTGCTTTCAGAATAGATCTAGAATCCAGTTCATAACTGTTATCACCCCTGCTCTGAGGCACCATCATCAGGCCAGAATGGTGCCTGGTACACAATAAGTGCTCAGTAAATATTTGTGGAGTGAGTGAATAATTGATAATGCAAGAAAAATATATCATGGAGAACTTTAGTTACAATTCCGAAGCATTATGGTAGGCAGTGGAGAGCCCACTGAAGGATTTCCTGCAGACTAGAGTGATATGACGAAACTTCAGTGTGAGAAAGATACAGGTAACAGTATTGAGAGTGAACCTCACTTATTTAGTCAGTAAGTATACAGATTGTGGCACTAGGGCAAGTCTTTAAAAAGGTCTTATGGTAGTCTGTATATGAAAAGAAAGTCATAGCAACTTGTAACTTACGATTTAATGAGTTTATACATTTTACATTTTTGTCAGAATCTTGATATTGGAAACCATCTCCCACACACCATTTAATCTGTTACTTATAGGAATTAGAGATATGAGTATTAAACCATCCATGTTGCATGCATTGAAAGTTCAGAGTTGGGTTTATTTTTCCTTACTTGTCTTTAGACTTTAGTCTGATAGTATGCTGTTTGTAAACTTAAAGAAGTATAATGATCAATTTTTTTAGGGGATTTTTGCTATAGGGTGCCTCTGCTTGCTGGAGAGAGAGAAACAGAAAGACAGAAAGAGAAAAATCACCCCCTAGGAAGAATGACCACACTGCAATCCCTTCTCTGTTCTCCTCTCGGGATTTTGGGGAACACGTGCATGCTCCCGTCATGAGTTTTAAACCACCAGGTCTGGGACTCAAACCATGGTCTACTACCTGGGAGTCCAGCGACATAGCCATTAGTCCACCAGCTGGTTCCAATAGTGATCGATTTTATTTCTTAGCTGGTAACAAAATTTTGTGTTGTTTCCCCTACGTCTGAGGGAAATTTTGTATATTGTGGGCTTACATGTAGTTTCTTCATTGGTTCTTTTTTTAGAGAGTTTTTTTGCTGTAGAGAATGTGTGTGCACTAGAGAGACAGACAGACAGAAAGCGAGAAATCAGTCCCCAGGGGAGATAGTTAAACTGCAGTTCTTTCTCCTCTATTCTCTTCTCATTTTTTTTGCACACACACATGTCCTGCGCAAGTTTCAAGCCGCCAAGCCCAGAACTGGAAACACAGTCGTCCATGTGGGAGTTCAGTGATATAATCATTACACCATCTTCTGGTCCCCTTCCTCGTTTTTGTTTTTTTTTTTTTTTTTCTTAGAGAGATTTTTGTTATAGGGTGCATGTGCTCACCAGAGAAATAGACAGAAAGCATGATATCACCCCTCAGGGGGGATGGCCCTGCCACAGTCCCTTCTCCTCTTGGGATTTTGGTCATGCACACGTGTCCTGCGTGCGTTTTAAGCTGCCGAGTCTAGGACTCGAACTGTGATTGCCCAGGTGGGAGTCCAGCGACATAACCATTACACCATCTGCTGGTCCCCCCATTCATTGGTTCTTAAACTACACTTTATTCTTTTCATATGGCAGAGAATATCTTGCATATCATTTGTGGTATTGTGCATATGCTGGGTGCTTATTTTCTTTATTCTTGACTTTTCTTTTTAATGCCAAAACACAAGATTTATAAACTGAAATACTTAAGCCTGGTTTCAGTATTGGCTCTTCCTTCCATCCACTACATTTATATGGTGTACTACTAGGGAAACCTCATAAATTTTCTCATTTCAGACACTTAAGAAAATTTCTTTTTTCTTTTTTTAATTGCCAGAGGATATGCCAGGGATGGGTAGAAGCCATTCTCCAAAAGGGTGTAGTCACTTCTCAATCCTTTTCCCTCCATTTCTCTGTCCTGTCAGGATTTCAGCCCATACTCACAGGCCTGGTATATTTTTCAAGATGCTGTGGGACTAGCAGTTAGCATAATGGCTATGTCGCTGAACTCCCATGTAGCCGACCATGGTTCAAGTCCTAGACCCGGTAGCTTAAACTCATACCAGGTGCGTGTGCATGCATGCCCAAGATCCCAAGGAGAATAGAGAAGGGATTGCGGTGTGGCCATCCCTCCTGGGAGACGATTTCTTGCTTTCTGTTTCTCTCTGCCTGTCTGGCGAGTGGACGTGCCCTATAGCAAAAGCCTCTCCCCCCAAAAAAGGGAAGATGCTGTCGCTGATATTTGAATTGTAGTTGGCCATGTGGAATCTGGCTCCCTATACACAAGGCTTAACTGCCTTACTATATGGACCTGGCCTCAAATTTGTCTTTTTTTTTTTTTAAGAGAGTTTTACTATAGGGTGCATGCACTTGCTGGAGAGACAGAAAGTG